TGGGGTAGGACTTCCCATTTCAACGTTTCCAAGTATGTCTTGACCACTTTCGCAACATGGGGTCGAGCATTGTCATGCTGCAAAATCACTTTATCGTGTCTCTCGTATTGCGGCCGTTTGTCTTTCAATGGCTCGGCTCAAACGCATCAATTGCGTTCGATACCGATCGCCTGTGATTGTTTCAGTCGGTTTTAACAGTTCATAATACACTACGCCTACGAGCTAGTCCCACCAAATACAGAGCATGACCTTAGACGTCAAAATCACCGTTCTTGAAGCGTTGAAACCACTCACGACACGTTCTTTTACTAATAGCGGCCTCACCATAGTATTTGATAGTATAAGTATTTGAGAGCATTCGATGAGCCTCAGCCGCAGATTTCTTCATATTGAAGCAAAAAATTAAAACCTCCCGCAAATGATGAGAATTTGGCTCGTAAACTGACAGTTTCAATCGAGAATAACTATGGGGTTATATTGACAGATGCCCAAGTTTATTGTATGACGTCTATGATCTATTTATTTCGACCACCACTTACCGCTAAAGCCATCAATAGAAAAACGGCGGAAGCAAAATTGTACACCTAATACTTTTCAATCAGGAAGGTTCTAGTTTTTATCTACGGTTAAATCTGCCATTCTACATAAAATGTAGAACCCAAATGTGCATGCATACACAAATATTCAAGCATAAGTTGTAATAGTTTATTTTCACAGATTTTTAAGAACATTGGTGCAGCATTATTAAAATCATGTTACATATTCTACATTATTCTGAAATATTGCATTGCAATATTGCAACATTGCTGGAAACTTTTGCGCTATATGGATAACCATGATAGCCAATTCTTGTACTTAGTCGATTAATTGTAAATTTTACTTTGTTTTCGAATTATTTTAATAATTTTAATTACAATTAGTTAATAATAGATATACTTAATTTACCAATTTCGAATAATTTTAATAACTTTATTTATAGTTAATACTGTACTTAATTTATTAATTAAATTTTGGACACATAATATATATCATAAAGAAACATACAATATTTTTAGAATATTATAATATATGCAATTCACGATATTGTAGCAATATTTGAAAACATTTATGAAATATGAAAATATAATATCTCTACTATATTTTTGCAATATTTTTCAAATAACACGCAGTGTTACAATGATGTTAAATTAATATAAAATTCAATGAAATTTTTCATATCAAATCTCAATCAAGATGTTATCGTCTCGATCTTATTGTAATATAAATTGAATGTTTTACTGAATTATAATAAATTGCATTAGTGAGATATCCATGCTATCCTTTAAAAATATTTTGTATTTTTATCCAATTATTTCCTTCTTTTTTACATTTGACAGACATTGTATTCGGACCTGGTCCAAAATATATGTTTCCCGATGTCTCTTATGGGCCTCTTTATTCAGTCAAATGGAGAACTAAATTTAGAAAAACTAGTGAAACTCCAGGACCTTATTACGTCAAGCCTATTACTGATATGCCAGCGTTTTCCATGTAAATTCAATATTTCTTTTGTAATTTTTATTCGTTCATTTTTAAATATGATTCGTATTTATATGAATTATATCGTTTGCAGAGGATTACGCACAGCTGCGAAGAAGCCCCAAATTAGCGCAGGTCCCTATTCGTACAGTTTGGATGCAGTGAAACCAAGAGCACCGATGTATACTATTGCTGGTACTAGACGTGCATTACAGTTAATTTCCGAAAGTCCAGGTCCGATATATGCTGTTCTGCCACCTAAATCGACTCTCGCTTTTTCATTCGGCGTAAAACATAGCGAATGTGTGCCACCCTACATCACTAAATGCGACGAACAGTGCTAATACTGAAGAAAGAATTTGTTTGTATCGAGTTATTAAACTCGTGAATGCACATTAATATATCACTATATATCACCATAATAATCGTTAACAAATTAATTAAATTAACAAATTAAATACTATTATCTTAATTACT